TTACTTGCTCACACAGAATTTTTGTGCTCAGTGTCCGTTGTGCAGCTGTGCTTCCTAATCGCCGAGCTGCCAAGTCAGCTGGTGAGCAAGAAGGTCGGGCCGGATGTATGGATCCCTTGCCAGGTATATTCTCTCATGCGTGATTGTGGGGTAAGTGGCTTACAATCACCATAGATGGTTCTTTGGAGCATCATATCGCTCGCGCAGTTTTGGCTGAGTGGGCGCGCTTCGTTCTTGGCAACGAGGCAAGCTGTTGCTAATGACTCTACCTCTCACTTCCCGCTAATGTTGAACCCGTTCACTATCCAGATGTTTATTAGGCTTTGCTCAAGGTGGTTTCATTCCCGATGTTGTGCTCTATCTCTCGTATTTCTACACTACCAAAGAACGTACGTGATCAACTTTTGATGAACCATCTTTCTGCTCTTGCTCACCGCTGTCGTAGTTCCGATTCGCCTGGCATGGTTCTGGGTTTCTAATTATTTGGCTTCCATCGCCGGTGCATTCATGGCGACAGGTCTCCTCAAGCTGGGCAGTGCTGGCGGCAAGGCTGGATGGAGATATCTTTTCCTAATCGAGGGAGGCCTGACTTTACTCGTCGGCTTATGCTCGTTCTTCATGATGCCACCCGGTCCCACCCAGACAAAAGCTTGGTACCGTCCGAAGGGATGGTTCAGTGAGAAGGAAGAGGTCATCATTGTCAATCGGTAAGTTGACAGCTCCGGCTCAGACGAGGCGTCCTGACACTTCGCCCCTCAATAGTGTATTGCGCGACGACCCAACAAAGTCCGACATGCATAATAGGCAAGGCCTGAATGTCAAGATGATTCTCTCGGTCCTCACCGATTGGAGACTCTGGCCGCTCTACATTCTCGGTCTGCTTCATATGGGTATGCTCCTTAGCTCTTCCTTTTGATTCGCGACACTAACGAAACGTTAGTTCCTGTCACGCCTCCGCAAACCTATCTTACGCTGTCACTTCGCAACCTTGGCTTCAACACGACACAGTCCAACTTGCTCAGCGTCCCCTCGACAGTACTTGGCGGCCTCATGCTGCTTCTTGCGTGCTACTTTAGCGAGCTTGTCAACAGCCGCGTCGCGGCAACAGTCGTTCTGCAGATATGGGCGCTGCCGTTGCTCATCGCCCTATATACTTTCAATACACAGACGTCGCAGTGGGTGTATTACGCGGTCGTAACACTTATTACAGGCTATCCGTACGTGCATCCCGTGCAGGTCGCATGGGCGTCGTCCAACTCGTCGAGCGTACGGACGAGAACAGTCTCAGCATCGATATATAACATGTTCGTCCAGGCTGGAGCTATGATTGGGGTGAGTGCAGATGAACATGCCGCTTTTGACATTCAACGTCTAATGCGCCTGCAGGCGAATATCTATCAAACCGACGATCAACCGCTGTGTAATTGTCGCCTTCTTGATCGTATGCACTCTGGGGCACTTACTCATTAGTTTACAGACAAGCGAGGCAACCGCGTTCTGATAGGGATATGCGCAATGAACATTGTACTGTACATCTTTACATACTTCTTCTACCGCACACTCAACAAGCGGAGGGAGAGGGTATGGAACTCCTGGACACCAAAGGTTCTCTTTTCTCTGAAGATGCTATGGTTCATCGCCGACATTTATTCACATCTAGGAACAACAAGACTACCTTGATACAACTGAAGATCAGGGAAACAAAAGGATGAACTTCCGATTTGTGTACTAGATGACATACTAGCAATAGACTTGCGACTGTTGTCCATCCATCCAGAGCTCACAGCGCGATGAACATTAAGAGCTTGCTATACGTACAAGAGGACAGCATGGAGGAAATGCCAAACGACATCTAAGCGGAAACGGCAACTTTGGCGGCAGCAATAGCCTCATGTTTCTTCTGCTGCTTGCGAGCACGCAGGTGGGCACGATGCGCGGCATCCCGAGCCCTCTTCTTGAGAATTTTAGTATCGACATACTTGTCGCCAACCTCAACGAAGCGCATCTCCGGCCGACCTGGCCGCTGGACAATATTAGTAACGACACCATCGGACTCTGTCTTCGCCTTGGAAGCACGAGTCTTCTCAAGTATGTCCGGGATAATGGGTTCCTAAACGCGATGTGAGCAAGGAAGATTGATTGTGGCAGAAAATATCGACCTGGCCCTCGACCGTAGGCTCCCAGAACAGCCGCTGGTAGCGCTCACGGGCCTTTGTGTCGTAGCCCTCCTCGTCGTACTGAATATCAGCCTTGATAGTTTCTTCGCTCAAGGCTGTCACTTCAGTGCCAGAGACAGTCCTCCTGCGTTCTGAGACACCCAGAATGTACTCCATACCGACCTGGAAGCCAGTCTGAAGCCGTTTACCCTGTTGGCAACACGTCAGAATTTTGATGTTAAAAATGTCGAGAAAGTCAAATTCAGATGAGGTTGAAATCGATATAACCACGCTCTGGGCTATGTAA